GCGGGGAGGGATGGGGGGGCGGCCTGCATGGTTCTGGCTGAGGGAAAGGCTGTGGGAATCAAACCCCGGAGCAGAGTCCTCACAGGCCCGTTGGGACTAAGAGTGTGTCTGAGCTCCGCCTGGGAATCTGAGGCCCAGGAGCGCTGGGCGTGGGCAGTCGTGGGCACAGAGCCAGGACTGGGGGCCTCGGGGGCACTGAGAGGTGCCAGCGCCTGTGGGGACACCTCCTTTTTTCTCTGCTTCCCCAGGAGGCCCCACAGCGGGGCCCCTGCGCCTCTCACTTTCCTGCAAACGGTTTAGCATTTGCTCATCCTTTGCAGAGGCCACGGCCTGGCCCCCAGGACGGTGAGCCCGAGCCTCCCGGCTCCCCTGCCTCCCTACCTCTTAAACCTTAAACATGGTCCCGGGTGGGGGCAGAGCGGAGCCCAGGCCCTCGGCCCCTCCTCCCACCCTCCCGCCCCCCACGCTCCAGGAGCCAGGGCTGCGGTCGGTCGGTCACCACGTGCCTGTGACTGGAAACACCGCCCTCATCTCTGCGAGGACACATCGCCGGCGGGAGGCCTGCGCCTCGGTCTCCCCGGGAGCAGAACAGGACGGGGATGGAGGGACCGGCCTCTTCTCGCCAGGATCCCAAGCGAAGGACCAGGTGGGAGGGAGCGATCTGTCCCGGAAAAACTCACAAACAACCCGGACAACAAGGATGGGGAGCGGGTCTGGCTCGGGCCCAGCCCCATGTGGGCGGTGCTTCCCGAGCTGCCACCCCCCCTGGGCGGGTGCTGCTGGGTCCACCTTCCTGCCCAGCAGAGGGGCCTGGCCCCTGGCGCAGAGCTGACCGGAGGAGGGGCCACTCCCTCAAGAGGCTCCCCCAGAACGTGCAGCCCCCCTTCCCGGGAATGTCACTCAAGCCACACAGGCCCCGCCTCCCAGACCCGGGGCTCCATGGCCGTCGGAAGCCCAACTCCCCAGCCTCCGGGAAGGAGCCGGTCCCTGCAGGGAGGGCTGAGCGCCTCATCCTGCTGGCGCACCCGTCCTTCCTCCCCTCACAGCGCGTGAAGGAGCCCACAGGTGTGGGGGGCACTCTCAGGGCCA